TTTATCACAGGACCTAATTTGAACACTTAAGTAGCAACTGAATCACATCTATTGTTCAAGGTGCATGATGAACTGTAATGTCAGTTAACAGAAATGTTCCCAACCTGGGCCATTAGCCTTGAGCAAACAGGGGGCTCTGGCTCTAAGCCTGGTGGTGAATTTGAACACTCACAGAGAGACTGCACGGTCCAATAGGAAGAGCTTCGTCAAACGTGCATATTTAAATTTGGCTCTGCCACTTACAACAAGGATTCCCTGAGAGATACCTCAAAGCAGCAGTTCCCGAATGTTAAACGTGTATGTAAATCACCTGGCGATCTTGTTAGAATGCAGATTGTGATTAAATCATCCTGAGAGGAGGGGTCTGAGGGGCTGTATTTCTACCCAGCTCCCGTGCTGCTGGCCCCTGGCCCAACTCTGAGTAGCAAGGCCTTCTATTATTGACGGAACATGAGCAAAGCACATGTGTACACGAGAAAACTCCTCATGAACTGTATGTAAAATGACATAAGCATCACCTTATTATATTGACTAAAAATAGTTGGTGATTCAATTCAACTGCTCAGGAAAAAAGTCCTAGTAGAATAAATTATGTTCCAGATATTCTTCTAATTTTCCTCTTTAACAAAAGCAAAACTGGGAATTGGAAAGGCCAACAAGAAAGATATTCATCCTAAACATTTTTGTTGCTTAGTGAGTGCTTTGAAAAATTAACTTCCATATAACCATCTTAACCAAAAAGATGGGAGGCGGGGGGTGGGGGGGGACCAAATCCGGCTTTTTAAAAGAAATTTGCACAATCAGATCCAGTTCCAGATTTGTCTGTAGATCGTCTCACTCCAATCAAGACAGAAATAGTGAATTACACGGAAAAGGAAGAAGACAGTTGGGTCCAGGAAAACTGATGATGAGAAAAGATAGCTGCAAGGGAAGAAATTAAAAACTAATAAAAGCAAACATAACATAGAAATCAAAGCTGTAGGGACGTCTAATTTCCTCGCCTAAGTATAGCTGTTCTTTTTCATCAGTGTTGGCATTTTCTGTAAGAAATGAGTAAAATTGACAGGTACAATTATTGATTTCTGGAGCATTTCTGTGTTTCTATGTAAAGTATAATCAACAATTCCTGTTCACATGCTGGTTCACAAATTGGCCAAGGAGAGAGCGAAGAAAGAGGCAGGTCACTCCAGATTGGTAGGTGGCAGCTTTCATTAGCAAGGGAACTTATAGACCAGGCTTGTCTTGGGCAGCCACATGATGAAGTCTCCACACTAGGCTGCCAGACTCTTAAAAGCTTGTACAGAGGCCTTAACTGGGTTCAGCAACATATACCATCCAGATGGCCCAACAACACATCGCTCTTCAAAGGCTATGACCTTGAAAATGGCTCTCACTGTGGGAACGGAACAGGGGCAGAATGAATATTCCAAGGACAGGGGAGGGTGTGAGGAGACTCCAATTGCCTGAGTCCTACTCATGGGTCAACTGACAGTCACATCCTCTGTATGAACTCCTCCAACATCAAGAAAACACAACTTACTGTACTGTGTGAAGAAGACTTTCAGCACTTACCAGAAAATGCATAACAAACCCTTCCCATGGGAAAGAACCCCTTCCTCATTATTTAGGTTTTGGACAGAATGACCCCCTGTCACAGACCTAGACCACCAACACCTTAGTCAGATTAAGCAGCAGCTTGCTTGCCCCGTGATGGATCTCTTCTCAATGGTTCTGGAGCCACTGTGACTATAGAATTAAAAACTCTGCTTCAAAGATGCCAGAGGTCCATCAGACACACCAGAAATTCATCTGACTCCCCTTCACCTGCATTTTATACTTTGTCTTCCCGCCGCCATCCTGTTTATCCTCTCTCAGCTGCTTGTGGTGGGAGGAAGCCTCATTCATCACCCAGACTGCCAGGGGATTGTTAAGCAAACATGTTTGAATGAATGAAAACCTTGTTTGGTGTCATCAGAGAGAAGAAAAAGTGATACATGAGACTGAGATCTGAGTACCTGTCCCTGTGTCCTGACAGTGCCATCCCTTTGAAAGATAAATGACAGGAAAACTACTAACACCAATTATTAACTTGATTCCTTAGGTCAGTCTATACTAAATCATGAGGCCATTTAGATGCAAAATAGCCACTGAGAGATTTGGTTCTGAAAACATTCCAGATGCAGACACTGAGAAATGTTTAAAGAGGCCAGCAATGAACTCATGCTGGGGAGTACCTCACACTTGCAGACTGTTCTTAGCATGGCCCCTCCTGGGTCATCTGGTTTAACTGCCCCAAGTGGATGGCCTCCTAATTAGGCAGCTCTTCATGCTCCAATTCTGTCACCTGGGAAAACCTGAAGTTTTGAGGATGACAGAGCAGCAGTTCCTTCCACAAGAACACTTGTGTGGGGCATCAGGAGTGGCTTTAAATGGTGGAGGTAATTACTTAATTCAAGCTCTAGCAACCGGCCAAGTAAACATGTAGCAGCCAGGAAGCTATTAGCATGATTTTAAGGCAATTATTCCATTAGTGTTTAATAGTCTCCAATTAGTCTTTTCTGACTGTCAAAGTTTGAATGTCTTTTTTTCCTCCAAAACTTCTCACAGTTGAGTAATGCAGAAAAGTGCCGTAATCCATTTTTAGACCTGGGGTTATGTGTATGATTCTACCAAATCTACATTACAGACTCATGGAAAACTAGGGGGGGGGCATACATTTGAAGAAATAGTTCTCAGATGTATTGGGGATGAGAGAAGCTCTGCAGGGGATCCATTTGGAATATAATACTAACAGGGATTGGGAAAGTGGTGGAAATTCCCATTGCATCCAATGCTGCGTCATCTTATGTCTCTAAGTATACCAGAACATCAAAGTCAGAGACTTTGTTCCATGGGGAGAAAGGAAAATTGCCCTGTTCTTGTTAATGCATGTTTCCTCGTTCCTTCATCCTGGTCAGTACTTGTTGCTACTGAATTATCCAGATACGAACGCCAAAGCATTTTGCTCTAAAATTCCTAGAAGCTCTTCCCTGAGGACCACTTTAGGGTCAGATGCTGATATTAGGCCATTTGCCTTCACTGAGCTGCAACTTTTACATTTGTGAAATGGAGTTCACAGTCCCAGCAATGCCTGCTTCCTGGGGTCTGGGGAAGGATCATGTGATCTGGTATATATACCAGGGCTCTGAAAAGGGAAGTATTACAGAAATGTAAGAGGTTCAGACAGAGTGCCGTAGCTTCCATCAGAACCAGCAACATGAATTTAGGCTGTTAACCCCTGTGTCTCTGGAGAGTCACACATCGGAAGACAAGCATCGCTCGCCCCTCTTACCTTCCATGTGTGCAGAAATGCTCAGGGAGAGGCCATGTGAAAGTAACTTTAAAACCAAAGAAAAAGGGAAGGAAAAAAGAGGATAGGAACTCCTGTGGAAGTGAGAGTGGAATTTTGCCAACAAAGTTTTGCACTTTCTACCATTTCCTTCAAAAGAGCGATCCCCAGGCTCGCCCAGCTAGCAGGCACTGTATTGTGGAGAGGCTGGGCTGTCCTTTAAGTTGGAGACACGTAGGCTCTTGGGAAGCTACCTCCTAAAGAAGGACACAAGGACACAGCCTCTCCCCTTCCCAGTTGGTGTTCAGAGTGTGGCCTGTGCCTATCAGAGCGGCCAGACATCCACTTGACTGAGGACCATTGACTTGGGCTACTGATCCATTCCAGCACTGCTGGTTAGAGCCCCCTGGGATTTCCAAGAGATCCCTTCTTTTGCTTTTTGTTTGTTTTAAATTGTTTCCCCTCAGTGGCTGAGAGGGGGCGCTGGGTGGAGCAAATCAAGAAGAGGTAGAACAGAAGGTTGAACCTAATCGGGCTCAACCAGGGGCAGGTGTGGACCACCTGTGCCTAATGTGTAATTTGTCCTCTGGTCGGACCCGAGAAGGATTAGGCATCCACTCCTTCTGCCCAAGTGGAAAGTCCAATTGGTAAGGAAGTGCGGCCGTGTCCTGGCTGTCGCCTCAGCCCACTGTCCTGGAGTGTCCTCCCCACCGCACACCTGAGCCAGGGGCTGCTGCGCGCACCAAACCGGAGACCTGCCCAGACCTCTGGTGCCAGCCGCGCGCCATGCTGAAGCCTCTGGGTGCTCCCGCCTCTCCCGGCTTTGCCAGGCTCCCTCCTGTTCTCCTCGCTGTGGGGACACCGGGACACCAGGACAATCACCTCTCCTGGTGATCCCACCCCTCGCTCGCTGCTCACGGCTCCCTCCGGGCAGCAAACGCAGGGTCCGCCAGGGCTCGTTTT